TGCCTCATCAGACAAAACAAAAAACATAACACCATTTGGCACAAAAGATTTTGAACATAAATGTTACAAAAAATCAGTCTTAAGCGTCACAATATTCCTCAAATAATCACACTAATATTTCCAACTATTTAGTAAATGTGTAGGCGTCATATACTTTTAAAAGTTGCACATTAAGAGTTATGCTATATTTTCTCCACACAATTTTGTAACTATTGTCCTTTGGTTCTCGCCAATTGAGGTGCATTTTTGTAAGTTGCTCACAGGGAGATCTCTAGTCTTCTTCTTTTGTAACTGAGTCTTTTGGAAATAGATTTTTTTAAATTAGAAAAAAAGAGTTATACTATTTTTTTTAATGATTCTCCAACAATCAGAAGGCAGACCTCCGAGTGGCACCTATTTAGCAACAATCTCCTCGCTCAAGCCAGAAAAGAGTTGTATGAGTATAGTCGAACATGAGATATGCAACTCCTTAGTAGGGAACTCCCCATGAGAACCCCACAAAGGAGGGTTGGTTATTAAGTTTTGGCATTGCAGCAAAACTGAAAAGGATATAGTTGAATATTTTGTGTCAATTATCTTTACTTGATTTTTCTTTATAGATGCCACTTAGGCAGCATACTAAAACTCGTCCATGGACCTCCGTTAGTTAAGGGTTGGTGGAGGAGAGAGATATTTTCCCTACTGAGAGCTTTCAAAATGGTAACTTGCTACTAACAGTGTGATATGAAACTAATATGAGAGAATATTTTAGAATGTATAGACCATTACGTTACTTGAATCTTCATATTCATTACTTTTTTTTCCTTGGGCCATCTTGTTTGTCATCTTGATGATTCACAGCAAAACCCTTCTAATAGCTTGCGTATTTACCATTTCCCTCTCTAAGAAAGAAACACACAGCTGCAAATGGTTCATACTAAAGTCTCAGGAAGGTATAGGTCTAGCTTTTTCCAGAGCACGTCAGCACACAAAATGATGATAGAACTTAGAAGTAATCATGTGCAACTTTTAATAGTATAAGACGTTTCTGCTTCAACTGTCTTTGCCACATATAAGTTTCAATTGGAATAGGCCTCTGCATCTTTACCAATAGACGGTATTAATGTCATGAACCCGATTCCTTAGCTTCAGATGTCAGATAGTTCAGAAAATTCACAGAATCAAGATAGGTGTGGAAACTTTTGAAGTTCATTCAAATATTACAGCATCCTTTCAACAAGGCATAATTGGTCAAGTCATTTTGAGTGACGGGTATTCAAGAAATTTTATCAGTAATATTGTTGTGGCTAAATCCAAGTGACGGGTATTCTGAAGTTCATTCAAATATTACACCATCCTTTCAACAAGGCATAATTGGTAGAGTCATCTTGAGTGACAGGTGTTCAAAAAATTTTATTAGTAATATTATTATGGATAAATCCAAGAAAGCTCTCATGAACCCCATTCACCAACTACTCCCTACTTCATCAAGTGTGAGCCACCAAAAGACCTTTCTGTTATGCGTCATGTTGGATAATGACTTTCAGTAGGTCTATAAAACAGGACAAACAATATTCAGATTTAAACACTTTGGTCACATATCGATTCCTACATAATAGGGTAAAACTACCATCTCTAAGTATGTCTCATTTTCTTCAAATGCTAAAGAAATCTATATTTAGAGAAAATGTTCTATGTAGATAAGGTCATGACATATGGCATATTGCAGAGATTGAACCTTTTGGTTGAAGAAATTATCTATTAGTAGTTCAGGTCAGGATGCTAGATTGCAAGTATTAATTTGTCTTTTTACACTAAATAATATGACATTGGGCACTCTACAACTGGCTTAATTTCACGTTATACTTAATGCCAAAGCCAACTGGATTTATACTTAATGCCATCCAATAACTTATATGTGGACAGGAGATGAGGCGAGTAATTCATTGGAACCTCAAACTCCCAAGGTAAATGCAATAACTAGGAGTTATTAATCTAGTGCCACAGAAGTTTGGAAATCCTCCGTCAATGCACAAGCATTTGAGCTTTCTCTAAAGGCTTAGGCACAATTATAGGTTACAAGCTCGGGGAAGAGCTCGGAAAATCAGAAAAATTATACAAAATCCTTCACGAACAAGTTAAAACCGTCACCACAGGGGCTCATACAAATCAAAATCGCAAAAATGAATGAACGAACGAGTCAATTTTGAACAAACCTCGGAGCCATCAGCGAGTACTTTCGCCAGCACGGGTATCTCATACTGGTAAGCTCTTTCCCATTCTGGATTACTAGTAATATCCCTCACCTACTTGAGAGACCAAATAACACAAATGAGTTACAACACTTAAAAAACATCAAACGAATTACAATGAGAGAGGACTGAAATTAGTGCCTGTAAATCGACGTCGTGGAGAGAATCGGGGCCGGCGAGCAGAAATGCAGCCTGTAGCTTTTCTTTGAGGCCATCGCATAAACAGCATCCGGGCTTCGAATACAGAATCAGTTTCCGAGATGGAGCAGCAGAAGATGAAGAGAATGAAGCTGAAGGGATCAAAATCCGGCGAGTTCTTTGCGCTGTTGTAAGCAGTACTCTAGAAGCAGGTCGCGCAATTGCCGTAGCAGTTGCAGATATCATTCTTCCGACTCGGCCTCGAATTTTCCGGCGTTTGGAATTGGGTTTCTTTCGTCTGAGAATGGTTTCTAAATTTAATTTTCGGTTTTTTTTTTTTTTAGATATTGCTTTTTTTTTCCTGAGAAAAAAGATAAAAAAAATATTTGATATTATTTTATGGCATAAGGAGGTTTTCCTGTATTTAATATTATTTCAGTAATTTAAATACTTGTCTGCGTTGATGAAAATTAATAAGAATACTTAGTCATACATATTAAGGAATCAGGATAAAATTGCCTTTTTTCTCATTTTTTAAATGATAAAATTATGAAAATGACGAATAAATCAAAAATATAATTAAAAAAAACATATTTTAAGATACCACGTCACAATAATTATCGGTAAAAAAAACTCCACATTTCTAATTTTTTTCATCTAAAAATTTTAATTTTACTAAATAAATGTATTTGGGCCATTAACTGTCAATTAGTGGTCGGCTAATCACGGGCTTGGGCCCAAATCGTTTTCATTACTTCTTGCGTGGGTTGGGCTTGATTGTGGTAATACTAGACTTTAGTCAAGCCCAAACTGCTTCCAATTTGCCATTTATTAAATAAAATAAATTATTTACAAAATAATAAGAGAGAAAACAGAGAGAGGGTTGGATCGGAATTACCTCATAAGTCATGATAACGTATAGCGACCAAACAAAAAACAGCTGTCCACCACAAAAGCAAATGAAGTTTGCTATGTAACATTTGTTGTTGTTTATCGTTTACAATATTTTTAAAAATTTAAGCATTTTGTAACAAATTGTTTTCTTGTTTCTCAAAATTTTCGGAAACATTATAGAAATTTGGGAAATAAATTTATTATTTATTTTTAAAATTTATTTCAAAATATAAACAAAAATTATTTTATAAGGATATTGAGGTTTCTTTCTATTTATGGTCAAAGTGGGTGTGAGTTGTAATATACACCTCTACCTATTTTACTTTTTTTAGCAAAACATGTGAGCTAAGAGATAGAACTCACAAAGCAAGTTTCTGGGTTATTGAAAACTAGGAGACAAAATCAAAGTCAATGAAGGAGAATCATACGAGTCCTCTTAATTCACAAAGCCTAAAGTTGACGTTTTAATATCGATTTTATGAAAAAATAAATAGAAAGCCGAGAAATCAGTTAAGCCCTTTCTGTATCTACGGAATCATTAGAACCGCAGGCCCGCTGATCCTAAAGACACGAGCACAATCATTTGAAAAGTAGAAACATCAACCATTTGTCTAATCGAAAACTTCGCCTAATATTTGGAGATATATCCTCGTCACATATTTTACTTAAAAAGGAGAAAAAATATATGATTATATAAAACATATATAATGTACTCCATGGAGATGACGCCCCACCCATTGTTTAGTTTTTATAAAATATTAGAAGAATAAATTATCCCACGTTGGATTTATATAAGAAGGAAATGTGTCCCAGCGTTGACTCATGTATTTGAGTTTTATTAATTGTCTCGATTGAAATAATAAAACTAGATAGTTAACTGAGTGGTATTTGATTTAATAGAGTGTTTCTTGTAATTGAGGTTGGGGAGATAAATTTGTACAATTGTACTAATTTTTCACATAGCGATCTTGAAGGGTTGTGATTTTTTTTCGGTGTGGAGTTTTGCATATAAATTTGTGTTTTCTTTATTAGTATGCTTCATTTTAATTTATAAGTTATTCTATGCTTTTATTCATGTTGTCGAAATATGAGGGTTTTCCCATCACTTGCTGCATGTTTAAATTTCCTATTCCACAAGCTCAATATTCAAAGGGTCGTTTGTGCATTAACTTTTGAAGAACAACAATATTTTGGTCATTTAATTTACCTATATGAATTTTTTTACCTCAAATATAAGTATTTATGAGCTTATATAAATTGAATTTCATTGCGTTCTAACGCGCATAACGAATTGTCACATGTATTTGAACTACCTAAATCAGTGGTAATATTGAATGAGTAGACATCAAACCGAATAAGTAGTACAATTCCATGTAAAGATTAAAATTAAAACCTTTATACTCTAAAATAGTTGAATTATGTTTATATATTAGGCATAAAATAATACAATTCAATGAAAAAATATATATTAAAATAATAAAATTAAGAGTATTAAAAAATAGAGAGAGAAGAGTGGGAATGTAGAAAGCGTCATGGGAATAGGGAAATTAATGAATGAATGTACGGAGGGCAGGTTGAAGGTACGGTGGCAACTGACAATGCCAGTTCACACCAAAATGGGTCGCCCCTTTTAAATGCCACGAACGCCGCACCCTCCTTTTTAACCCCTCGTTTTCCTCACCTACCCTTCCCCCACCCCCACATTTTAAAAAAGTTAAACATATTTTTAACCATCTTAATAATATTATAGATTTTAAATTATAACAAAACCTAAATTGTTACCACAAAAATAATTACCAAATTCAAAGTTCGAGAGCGTGATATCAATGCAGAAAGTTGAAATCTCTCTATATGATCATTGCGTTATTGATAAAACTTTTTGTTCAGGGAAAAATTCAAACAAGACACGCGTCGGATTTCAAAAGTGACAAGGCACGGGATCACGGCCAGTTCACACTGTATTATGTGCAGGCGTACAAATGTGTCGCCACCATAACTGTATGGGGAAGACATTGAGAACGGCAACCTGAAACCTGCAGTCTGTCGAGGAATAGTCTTGCATGTGGAGGTACCACCCACTAATTGTCGAGAGTGTCTGTCCATCCGTTAGGGCCTTGTATAGCTTGGCGTGTGCCTCGGCAATAAAAACTGTCATCTTTTCTACTCGGCCACCTGCGCCTATAAAATTGAAGGACTCCTATCACCATGGGGAAATGAAAACCTGTTACTTAAATCTCAAGGTGTCTACTCCTATTTTCTTACTCGAATTACTCGACGCTCAATATTAGACGGGATACCGCACAAGCGTCGAATTTTTTGGTTGCACGCTCATTCGTTCCTCGACAAACACTCTCATTCGAGGAACATGTGAACCTCTTTTATTTATTTATTATCGATATTTGTTTAATAAATATTACCTATTTTATTGCATGCAAGATGATTAATTGATCGTTTTTTTTCAGATTATTTAAATATAAAAAAGAAATGAATTATTCGTTATAAGTAACTAAATAGTCGAATGACCCGAAAAAGAAAATTTATTTCATGCAAGATAAATTAAAAATGTATAGACATAAAATATAGAAGAAAATACACAAAATGAGAAATAAAATGGAAAAAGGAAACTTCCTTACAAATTCATGCAGCAACAAAAAAGTCCTCTTTTGATTCTGCGCGTACGAAAAAAAAGACACCACATGCAAAAGCGAATAAAATTTAATTTTTAAGATTCAATTTATAATTATTAAAAAAAGAAAAAAACATTGACAAATATTAAATAATTCCACACGACGGAATTAATTTTCGAGGTACGAAACGGAGGTGGCGAGTGGCGACATCATGTGAGATAAAAAGGGCAGTGATCGGAATTTGAAAATTATGTAACTAAATTAATCGCACCGTGTAGTGTTTGGATTATTATTTAAATTGTGCTTTGGGAATATGAATTTCAGTTTATTATTAATTAATATTATGTGATTTTTTTTTTTAATTTTAGGTTCTGAAGAGGAGGAAGGACAGCGTACGGAGGGACGACACTATTTGTTTCACCAATGTACTATTTTGGGGAAAAGAAACGACAGTACAAATTATATATTTTTTTAATGGAATATCTTATGATTACGACATGACAGCTGGTTTGGATTTCATATCGTAAACTTTTGGGGGTACACTGAGAAAGCTTCATATTTCCAGACATTAAAAGGGTCAAAAGTACGGTAAGTAATTAATTTCAGCCGGGTTCACTTCATTGTTGAGACGCTTATTTTCGACGGAAAAAATAAAAAAGTTTTTTACTTCGAATTTCTACTTCAAATATTTTGTATTAAAAGAAAAAGCAAAGTCCGACAATAGTAAAAATTATATAATAATAATAATTCTTAGAATAATGAAATTACATTTCTATTAACTTTTTTATTTGTATATTATAAAAATTAGGTATGTTGGAAGAAAAATCGTCTGAGATATATACGGTTTACATTTCTAAATCTAAGAGTCATTTGGTAGATCTAGCTAAGCTTGTAATTGTATTTGGCAAATTTTTAGCCGATTTTGAGCATTTCGTATCTTAGTTGATGTAATTGTCTTCCTCCTAATAAACCTTACAGTAGATTTGAGCTTTTTATTTTAGGATAAATTGTTAGTCACGAAATTGATTTGTTTGTTTGGTGAAATTATCTAAATTTGACCATGTTAAAGTATTAATTTTATTATATACCCAATCTAGTGAAATATGAAATAGGTAAGAATCTTTGGGAATGAAAGTTTCCTTTTTCCTATATTTTTACTTGTAATATTCCTATCCTCTTGTTAGATCGTATTACAAAATTAAGAAAAAACACGATAAAATATATTGATTAACTCAAAAAATAATGTAACAACACTCTTAGGTTTAAACGAGCTTAACTTGTGTGGTCAAAGCATGGGACGAGAATGTTAGAATTTCAATTTTTTTTTAATTTTAACTGCTAACAAATATTAGGGAATCTTTATATTTATACATAAATTCACTCTATTTTAACTTGATATAAAATTATAATGATGTATTTTTGTTTTGACATTTTATCTTAAAAATTATGGTTCGGATTTTTCACGTTCTTCTGCGAAAAAAAAATCAGAAGTCAAATTTACTAGGAAATTAAATAAATTCACGTGAGATGGACTAAGAACAATTTTGTGTCGGAATTTGAAATAAATATAATAATTAGGCAAAAAGCCATTCACATACGCACAAATGAGAGCAACTAGTTGCCAGGGACTCAAGTGGGTCCCGAAAACCTTATTTAAAAATTTAAGACTAATATTTATGCATAAATTATATATTTTTTTGTGAAACTCAATGATTATATTAAATGAAAAACTAATTTAAAAAACACAGATGGTACTTAAATTTATTATGTTTGTTCTAAATAACTCATTATTAAATGACATCAAATCAATTATTTATATATAAGCTGTAAGTTTGACAAAGAAACCCTCTCTCCCTTAAGTGAGAACCTGGAAGCTTCGTGCGATTCTGTAAAGTAAAACGAGAGCGAATTGTTGAAATTTAATTACATTGTTTAAGGTGTAATTCTATAATTTTTTCAATTGGTTTGGGATTATAACGTTTTTAGTGCATATTATTTTTTGATACAAATTTTAATAATTTATTTGCATAAATCTTTCATCTTCACAGTAAAAGCAGGCATTAAAGACACATTTATGCATTGAAATTGGGAACGATTTATTAAATTGTTTATGAATTTTGTGAAGAATTATTTTTAAAGTGGTCATGGCGCTAAAATCAAAATTTTGTGATCGATTCTTGTCGTATTCTCACTCTAAAGCCAGGCTTCACAAAACCCGTAGAGAACAAGGTTTTAGTGAAGCTGACGTAACCCCAAGAAGCGGTTACGAATCCAACTTCACAAAACCCATCAAAATTAGTTTTAAATAATATTTTAACATTAAATTCCTTTTAATTTTACATACTTCATTACTTTAAACTTCGAATTTATTTTGTTGATTTTCATGGACTATGTCCATAAAAAAAAAAACATTGTCCTAATTTGGCTTGGACTCTCAAAAGATTTATTTTAGCTTCAAAAATGGTAATTAAAAAAACAGATATTTTGGTCTTCCTACTCAATAAAATATTTAAAGTATTATTATTATGTTTTTTAATATCCACACCATTCTGCAAACCGGTTAACGTATATATCTCCGACGATGGAGTTAGAAGTTCAAATCTCCTTACCCCAATATAACTTAGTAGATAAGATATAAAGTTAGATATTTCATCCCACCACATTTGTTGGAGTAAGGAAAAAAATCACATGTCAATATTTTTTAATATTGCAATTCATACTAACTTGTCGTTGAGTCTCTGTACTTTTAACTTTAGTTTATTTTAGTATTTTGATGTATGTTCAAAAGATTAGTTTTGGTCATTGAACCATTTAAAAGTGATTATTTTAGTCCCTATTTATAAAATTTTAACATAAATTTCATACCCAACAAAAACTCTTTAAGATAAATAAAAGACTACATTTCAGCAAATATATTTAGGGTAGCGTTGTATTAAAATATAGTAAAAATAATGAGATAAAAATAAAACGAAACGACCAAAACAATCCTTTTTAAAATTACATGAACCAAAACAAGCGTACGAGACTAAAATAAACCAAAATTTAAAGTACAATAACTAAAATGAAAAATTGAAATATATAGGAATTAAAATGAACAAAAATTGAAATTATATCGACAAAAATAGTGTGCAACCTAAAATATATTAGTATCTCTCTCCATTGTATTAAGCAGAGGCTATTAATTGACAAAACTAATCTAACTCAATGGTAACTGGTATATATTTTCAATATTGAGGTTGTGAGTAAAAAAATAGGCAACGTATCAATTATAACAAAATATATTAATTAATAAATACAAATTTTAATAAAGGGTAAACGAAAGATTTCACGTGGAGTGAAGAGTAGAAAGTAGAAAGGCAATCTGAAGGAAGCAGCTTCCGTTGTCAATTTTCCGCTTCAAACATAGGCTTAAAGTCGGGGCAGTAGCAGTGGCCCAACTTGGAAAACAGGTCATTTTCCATAAAAAGGTTCCCGCTCGCCCCTTTTTTCCTCTAATGAAAAAAAAAAATTATGAATACAGGTATACAACACCCATTCACTCCTAAAATGTACTGAGTATGACCATTTTATATATAATATTTAGTAAAAAGAATTAATTTGTTCAAGAGCAAAATATTCTGGATGTCACAAATAAAGTATCGATTGCAAACTCCATGAGCAAATAATATTAAATAAAGACGTTTTTCATTTTGATTTGCCGTACGTACCCATCAGAATCTCAAATTCACAAATTGGGACACACAGCATTTATTATCAAATTAGCATAGGTAACAAAGTCAAGTCACCCACCGTAAGCAGTTTTAAAAAAACGGTTGAGACGTCAATCTTTTTCTATTTTCTTTATTTATTTATCAAAACACACCAAAAAAAATAAATAAATAAAAATAAAAGAGAAAAAGAAAATAAAGTTACTCAAAGATAAGTGATGTTGTAAAACGCGTTTTTGGGAGCTGCATGCATGACAGAAGGGCAACAGCTGTTAGAGCTCCATCCATCCGCGTCTTCCAATTTTATTTATCTTTTTTTTTTTCGCTTTCAAAATTTTATATTTTATTTTTCTAATCGATATCACTCATTATAAATTATATTTCATTATATGATATTTAAAAATAAAAATAAAAATAAAAAATTTGTTAGAAGATTTTGCATTGATGAAGATCCGTTGGGTGCAAAATCTCGGAAGCTGCCTATTTGGTACTATTATCCTACGATTTTGTCTTTCTTTCTTTATTTCTTTGGTACGTATATGCATCACTTTTTATAAACACAACGTACCTCCTCCAATGTAGCTTGAAATTACATTTTTGCTCCTCTAGATCTTTTTCCTTCCAAAGTTAACCTCGGTTGGGTGATGGTTTGCTTGGGGGAGGTTTATATATGCTAGTGTTAAATGCCACATGGTAAGTGGAGAAAAAAAAAACAATAATAAATAAAACCTACGTTCTAAATAGGCATTTAATTTGAAGTGAAGCATTTTCTTGTTCTCCAAACTAAAATGTTGCATTTATTTAAAACAAAGTTTGAATACATTCTAGTATTAAACAACAAAAATATAAAAATAGTAAATACAAACCGATTCAATTTAAGGGTATCCAACGAAACATACAGAGTTTTTTTTTTTTTATTCAATTCCGATACTGTGAAATTTGACGATAAAGTTGTTGGAATGAAAAATTGAAACGAACCCAGTTAATTAGATTGTAAAATATATTCAATCTCGATTTAACCGACTACTTTTCAGTTTTATACTTTGAACATGGGTTAGACATAATATTTTGGTTTGATTCATCATCGTCCCAATAATTATATAAGGTTAATTTTGATCATTTTATTTGTTGTTTATTTGAGTACACGTACTTTCAAAATGATCCCTTAAGTTTATTAATATTATTGTGTCTAACAATTTCAACACAAAATGTTAAAAATAGAGATTAAAATAGTCAATTTTTAAAAACATGGAGATAAAAACAAATGTTTTAAAAGTATAATAATTAAAATCAATCAAGTTAAAAATATAAAAACTAAAATTAACTTAACGAAAGTATAAGAATCAAAATCAACGATCAAAATAGTATTTTAACCAACTAAGAAATGCAATTCTTGATTAGATCAAATCGACTTGGTTGATCGATTTTAATGGTACCTTTTCAATTTTAGATAAATGAAACATGATGAAGGGATGTATCATTTGGAATATGAAAATGATAGATGTGAGTGTCGTAAATATAAAGTCTCATAAAGAGGAATTTTGTGAGGGGGCACGGTGGCGGCAGTCCTCCGACGACAGATACATCACAAAAGAATAAGAAATATATTGACCAATTCAAAACATTTCAAGCAGCTTTTTCTTTCCTAGTCACAGCAAGCTAGATTTCACATCTTACTAGTTACTATTATTATTATTATTATTATTTTGGATAAATTGGAACATAATTTGGAGGGCAAAAGTGTCCATTCCCTCCCATGCAGCCACATCAATATTAAATGCAAGAAAAACATCTGTCCCCCATCCTTTGATTGACTAACAGATAAGCCCATTGGAAAATCTACTTCAATTGCATTTCCTCATCTATAAATTCTCTCCCCTTCGTTTTCCCATCATATTCCCTTTCACTTCACACCAAAATCAAACACTCACAAAAATCATCACCAGAAAAAGAAAAAAAGACCCTTATTTTATTTCTCTTTTAGCATTCTGTATTATTGTGCCATTTTTCAATTTTTTTAATCTCATTCAATGGTGAAGAAGGCAGAGCGGAAGACGGCGGTGGAATCTTCTCCGGCGCCGCCGTGTAAAAGGAAATACAAGGGTGTCAGAATGAGGAGCTGGGGCTCATGGGTTTCGGAGATTCGAGCGCCCAATCAGAAGACGAGAATTTGGTTGGGTTCTTATTCTACGCCGGAAGCGGCGGCGCGTGCCTACGACGCTGCACTTATATGCCTCAAAGGAACTTCCGCCAGCCTCAACTTCCCGGAAATTGCTAAGTCCATTCCACTTTCCGACCACCGCCACTTCCTCCCTCACTACCACATTGATTCCCCCGACGCCATTATGTCCCCCAAGTCCATCCAACGAGTCGCCGCCGCCGCCGCCAATGGCTTCCCGGAAAATGCCGCCGCCTGTACTACTCCAACTCCACCGCCCTCCGCCGTCTCGTCCCCGTCGCTCTCATCCACGCCGTCGGATCAAACCGACGACGACGTGTCGGTGATCGTGACGTCCGCTGGGCTCCTCGATGGTTGCTACGATCAAATCGAGCAACCGACGGCCGCGATTGAATCGTGGTGCAATTACCTCGATGCCCTTCAGTCGCCGAAGCACGTTGACCAAATGCTCACCGGAGCTCTGTTCGATTTCGATTCAATGCCTGAGATTGACGATTTTTACGAAGAGATAGGTGACATCAGATTGTGGAGCTTCTGCTGAAGAAATTTTCAAAATCGTTAGTTAATTTTACCCAAACAAACCGATATTATAATATCTTTTTTTTTTCTTTTTCTTTTTTCTCTCCCCATTTAAAATCTTCGTCAATTGCTTGAAGATATTACTGACAGTGACCCAAATTTGTATTTTTGGTTTAGTGTGATTGATTCATAGGTGAAACCGACAAACTCACATGAGATTAGACTTTTTTTCAAACTAATCTCTCTGTGGGAGCTGGTTTTATGATGAAATTTTATGTAATGATTAAACATTGTTATTAATTGTTAATTATATTATAATTATATGAATATTTTAATTCGTAAATTTCCCGCTCTTGGATTTTTTCATAAATCATAATATGAGTGTTTGGCATTTCTTTCTCCATTCTTTTCCGTTTCTTAGTTTTTCCATTTTAATAAATAAAACTAAAACTGTGTTTCCCCTTTCCTTTTGTTGAAAAAAGCAATATAAACCTGTTTAAATAATTATTCATTACTTTTTATTATTTAAAATTTTAAATTAAAATTTAAGAAATTTGATTTTTCTCCCCTTCAAGATTCCTACATAATTTTGTAAACCATTTAAAAAAATGTAAACAATAAAAAACAACTACAATTACAGTTATCAAATATTTATATTTCTAAAAATTGAAATGGATGAACAATAAATAATACTCGAAAATATTATAAAAAATCCTAAGTTGAGAAGTAAACAAACATGAAATAAAAGGATAAAACACCATGGGTGTCGATAATGTATATGTGAGAAGTGACACATGAGTGGAAATATTGATAAGAGGCTAGTTTTCAAACTTATTAGCAAGTATTATACATGTAAAGAAAGGTAATAAAAAAAAGAAAACCGACAAGAAATATAGCACAACTTTAATTAAATACGTGCCTTTCGTAAATATTAATTACGGTTCTTTTATTTTCAACAATACAATATTATATAACAATTTTTAATTATAATATACTTTTTTTATTTTCAAAATTTCTTGTGAAAGTTAATTCGAAAAAGTTGGCACTATTGAAAGTTTTTTTTGCCATCAAAATTTCTTTCAAGGGATAATTCACACAAAATTTTTTTTGACAATTAAATAAATAATAAAACATTGAAATAATATGAACCAGTTTGACTAAAAAAACATCCTAGCATAAATTCATTTATAATTTTTTATTATTACATTAATAATTTTATTTTATTGTATAAATAATTGAATAATGTGACGTGACTTTATTAAAAAAAATTGTCACTAAAATAAATATATTAAAATAAAAACAAACATTTAGCTCTTTTCTAAAATGATATTAAAAGTAACAGACTTTTTTATAACACAATTTTTAAAATAAAGCCTAAAATACTGTACCAAAAATAGGAATTTTTTGGTTGCTTGTTTTAGAGGGTAGGGTAGTTAAAGGTGTGACTGATTGATGGATTCTCTGAATAACATCAAGCTTTCTTTTCAAAGTTACAAAATGTTGAATACAGCTTTCTTGTTTCCATTATTTTTGACGTCAATTCTCTGGATTAGATGGCGATATAATATATAATTTGATTGATAGTTTTCTTATCGTTTGCAAAATCTTACAAACTTTCTCACCCAAATTTCGGAAATTAAAGTGTAACGCTGAATTTCAATTTTTTTTTTATGCCGCGTGGGTCCTGGTCATAGTGACCACACCGAGCTTGAACCAAGGAACTCGGGTTAGATTGTCAGACAATGACTTTCTTTTTTCTTAATATAATATGTGATAGGGATCGAACTCACAAATCATTTACTTGAAGTATATGCGAAGTCATATTAAAGACTCTTACTATTATCTTTCAAAATAAATTATGCGTATTTGTTTACTTAAAATAAAAGTGAAAAGAGTCCCATCAATCGAAACAAATTAAATTAAAATATATATTTGATATCAATCAAATTTAAATTTCTATATTGACATGGGATGCAGGATTTGGGTTGTATATATTAGTTTACTTAGATGCAGTGCATGTTAAAATAAATTAAAGTGCTCATTAAAAGGATTAAAATTGATATGAAATATTTGTTTAAAAATTAATTTGGTAGAGCCGGTAATATGATTACAAACGTTTATAATAGATATTTTATTCCACTTGAAAACTCTTATCCAACAAATTAATTGATTCAAATTGTTGAAAATTTAATTGTCATGAAATAAAAAATGACCCATACTATATCGATCCGTAACTATTAATATTATAGTGCTTGACAACTTTTATCTTTGTTTATTTGTGAAAAAACAAAATAGATTATTATACAACATTGTCAATTTCATTGGGTGAGGTTAGCCTTTTCATTACTATCACCATTAATGAGAAATCAATCACCTGACCCATCATTGCAACCAAATGTTGTTCTCTACGTTTTTAGTGTATCCCGTCATTATAAATTCATTTCATACCAGGCCATACCATAATAGGTTAGGTTATATACGTTTTAATTATGAGAACAAGTCATTCCAGCATATTTAAATAGATATTATGTTTACATATAGATGTCTATGTTCTTACATTCTATTTAGATTAGGAATAGGCATAATCGAACCTATTTTTTACATATCTCTGGATCCTATTCATCATTTTGAGCTTCTATTGATTCAAAAAATACGGATTTGTCGCTTTAATTAGTTCCATTTTGTTCTAAATACTAATGTGATTTGCAAAAAAAGAACATTTTGTGTTGTATTCATATATTCAGTCAAACTTATAAAGTTGCTCGCATTAAATCTAATTTATTATTAGAGGTAAGCATAAATGACTTTTTAGGTTAGCAATAAATACAATAAGGGTGGAGTTAGATATTCTAACCCTCGATCTATAAGTAGATTATTAATATTGTAACCAGTAAACATATATATGTTCATTAACTATCAGAATTCGTACGAAATCATCTCTCGGAGAACAAGAAAATAAAAAATTATAATTTTCATAGGTCTAGTTTTATATATATATATATATATATATATATATATATATATATATATAGATATATATATATATATATTAAAAGAAAAAAAACACAAACAGACCGACTTAAAATCTAAAATGAAGGAAATTAAGGAGTGAAGCGTGATAACTTGAGTGAACAAAGATGGAGCCCCATTAGGTATTGTTTATGCTACATTGTATTTGGACCATGGTGGGGTAATCTCAATGGACCACTTGTTCATCAACAAAACAAACTAATTCACAAAATCTTCTAGGACCCCATTTGCTTTATAACATTTAAAGGCTCATCCAAATTTTTTATTTTCTTTAAAATTTTTTAATACACATTCATTTCAAGTATTTTCCAATAATCTTAATTAATACAATATAATTTTTTATTCAATTTTATACTCAAAATTTAAAAAACGTCAATTTAAATTTTATTTTCACCCCAAAGTTGTGGTAAACCATATCAAAATAAGCATAGTTTAAAAACTTAAATTTTTGTTCTAGAATTTCACTGACAGATTTATTATCCCAGTTTTATTTTGTCTGTCCACGTGGCAGAAGCTCAATTGGCTGGGCTTGATTAGGGCAAAATGAACTGGGCCGGGCTTGTTTTACTGACGCGGGTTGGTGAAATTGGAAGATATAAAGTCTCCAATTCAGGCTCTCTCGACTTCAATCTTAGGGTTTCGGTTGTTGATCGATTTGGACCGTAGGTCCAATAAAGCCACGAGGAGCCCAAATCTGGCGATGGGAGTCATGGATTCACATCGGTCTGGCCCTCACAACACGATAGATTTTGGATTTTTGCAGCGTTCATTTTGGTCTAAACCTTCGTCCTGAAGTTCTCTCTCCGTCGAACTTCTTTCCTCTGAATTCGAGCTCTGTGCTTCAGTATGGCAAAGGAGGTTTACACCAGGGAAGAGTTGCTAGCGTTGTTGCAGGTACTCGGATTTCTCACTCTGTTTCGTTCTCTTTCCATAAATTTCCATCGCGTAAGTTGATTCCTCGTGCTGAACTTCAGAGTATAGGTTTTTTCTCCCTTGATCGAATGTTAGAGACCTGTCGTTTGGATTTTTCTAGCACTCTGATGTTTCTTATTGTTCGACGTTATAATTCACTTGCTTGGAGTAGTGACGAGAACAGACTGGCAGACTAATGGCTAGTTTCCGTCGGAATGCGTAGTTTGCATCAACGCCTACTATTGATTTCTCCTAGATTGAGGAGTTATCTTGTTTGCTTAACTTTCTGTCATTTCCGGATTGATATATGATGATTCAATTATGCCTATTTGCTTTGCCTTTTTACTACTATATCTCTCGCTAATTTTTTTAAGAATGCTCCTTAGGATCATCAAATTCATTTTTCCAAGTACGAACATCCAGCTGTATTGACGGTTGAAGCTCAGGTAAAGCTGTGTCACAAAAAAAGGGAAAAAAAATCAGATCGTCCTTTTTTGTTCTAACGTTGATGTGTTTTTAGATAATATAACGATAACATGTTTTTATTGAATCTACATCAGGCAAAATATGTTGGAAATCTGGGGGGTGGACTCAGTAAGAATCTGTTTTTGAAGGTAGACTTTTTGAACAGCCTTTTCTGGTCCATATTTGTGATTATTATACTATTGTATACCACATTACCGCGTATGTTTTAACTCCTGCGATATTTTATGCTCATTGGCAGGACAAAAAGAATAGATACTACATCGTTTCTGCATTGGCAGACACCAAAGTGGACCTGAAAGGTCTGTACATTTTACTTATGGCTGTGATTTGTGTTTAAAATTTTATTATATAAGGTTCTTTGAGTCTTTACCCATCAATGTGTGTGGTTTTTGAAGATAAAATTTCTATGATCATATATTTATAGTGCGATATTGTAGTCATGCAGTTCTATCTGCAAGACTTGGTTTGGGGAAAGGAGGTCTGAGAATGGCTCCTGAGGAAGCATTGGGTGAGAAACTTAAGGTTAGGAATCACCTTTTCTCAATTCACACTGACACCATTCTTTCACTTCATTTCGTTAGTCTTACATGAGGACATTTCGTGAAGAAGTTGCTAACGATGATACTATGGTTCTTCATTAATGTGAAATTGTGTTTCCATCTAATTAAGTAGCCTTCATTTTCTTCATTATGTAAAGCTAATTGGTATTTGGTCGTGTCATCTTTTCAAGGCTTTAAGGATGCCTAACTGTAGAGTAGTTAATGTCTATTGCACCGATTAATTGATGCTAGCTATATTCATGGATGATGATAATTAAACTGTACAGTTCTAGATTTCCATCTAGATGACTGTCATTTGATTACTTATATTGTTGTTTTCATCTGTTGGATAGGTATCTCTTGGTAGTGTTACTCCGTTTGCACTCATCAATAAAACAGCGCGGTAGGCATTAATCAAAATTTCATTTTCATTTTCAGTTGCTTTCTGTGCATTGTTTTTAGTCCATATTGATGCTCCTTTTAATCAGATTTATGTAGTTAAGACTTGGACCATACTTGAACATTTAGCAATGTGCAACCTTTAAGTGGTGGAAAGAAAAGCTAATTGTATCTGACAGTTGGACAATCTGATAATTAATCATAACATATTATATCTTTTCCTTTTACTTTGTGCTTATTAACCATGCATGAATATATCATCTATTTATTCAATTGAATCTCACACAAGTTATTATGTGTAATTGCAAACCTTTCCTTGTGCAGAGATGTCGCATTGTTGTTGGACCAAGGATTTAAAAGCCAGGAATTCTGCTTCTTCCACCCTTTGTCAAATGAAACCTCAATATGTAAGTGAGGTGTACTTTTGTTTATATAATTTATTCCTTTATTTACCTCTTTATGCATATTTTGCTTGAACTTTAGGGTTTCTAGATGTCCATTTCTGACTTTTAGCATTGCTATAAAGTTTCCACCTGTTAAATAATGTTATTCTGGGTTCCACTTTTCATTTTGACGGCCATTTTCATTTTACTGTATTTGGTGGCTGTCACTGATGAACACTCCATGTTTATCTTACTTGATGACTGTCGAAGAAGAAAGTCTTTTTGTATAGTTCTGCTTTTGACTACCATCATCATTCCATTCATCTGTTGGAACCGGTAATTTTGTTGCATTTGATTAGGTTAGAATCATTTAAATTGGTTTTATTGCTTTCCTATGAAAATATTGCTTTGATCATATTATTTTTGGTGAATTAATTTGTAGAACCTTGCCTTCACTTCTTATCAGTTAGACTCTAATAAACTTTATATATTGATGTTTCCAGCCCTTAATGCCAGTAATCTCGACAAGTTCCTTAAAGTGATTGGGAGAGACCCTTCATATGTTGACTTGGAGGTGAACCCATATCTGGTGATTACTAAGTTGATCCGAAAAGTTTATCATTTGGTTGATTATTATTCTCTCTCTGCAGGCTAACCCTTCTGTAGGAAAGGATCAACCCCCTGATCTTGCTGGACTTGTTCCATCTGGTACGGCCTTTGTGCCGGATACTCCAGAGAAAGCATCTTCATGTCCAAATTCGATTGAAAATCATGGTGTTGTAGACAAAAAGAAGTCTAAGGTAGTTGCAGGTAATATATGAAGCGTACGCTTAAGTAGTAGAAAATGATGGGGGGGGACACAAATTAGTGTAGATGACGAAATTGTAGGAAGGTTTTGTTGCGTCGGGACAGAAGGACTGGGCTAACTAAATGTTAGGTTGTGTAAGGTTTTCTAGTTTGCCTTTAGATTCATTATATACTTCTGGAGGTATAAATTTTATTCCTTACCGCATTTTAGTGTATTGCCAACAAGTTACTTCCCTTGCTAAATAATAATTGATGTTAACTGATTGACCATAACTGCGGAACAGCCTGACAATATGTCAAGCTAAGCTCTTATGCCTTATTGCAACATTTGTTAATTGACTCTATATTTACATTGTAGAATGCAAATATGTGTTTTTATGAGTTAAATGCCCCGGACACTCACGGATATAAAAAAGAAAAAGTTAAATGCATTGGTTCTTGGTTTGCACCTGGGGCTTTTGCAAAAGTAACGAGTCTCTCTCTTTAAAACAGGGGACACAGCCAAACCATCTACTGCTGTCAAAGTTGCAAAGGACAAACCTGTACCAACAGTACGAACATCCCATGCAAATGTGGAGCAATTTGTGGAAGAGATCCTTAATAAGACGTCGGCAATAGTGCTCTCAGAGGTTACTACACCGTTCTTTGCATTAGTATCCACTTAGTCGAAACTGTTCTCTAACTGACAAGATCAAGTTTTACAGCTCACAGAGGAGACTGTTAGGAAACATGGAGAGCAATTGGGAACTGTGGTGTCAAACAGCATCAAGAGCCATCTTAGCTCGGAGTTGAACAATCTTTCTGTGAGTATTTTACCTAAGATGGTTATTTTTTGTTTTCTTCCTTTGGAGCAACGAAAAACCACTTAAGATCCACGCACTTGCAATTGAAAAGTTCAAAATACTTGCTGTACTAACCGATCTTTCAGTTTTGAGTGAAACGATTATAATTGTCCATCTTATTTAGTTCAGTATAATGTTAATTTTTATGAAATAAATTTTGGGTGAAAAGATTATAATTGTCTGTTTTATTTTTGATCAGTTAAATGTTATTTCCTATGAAATAAAGCTGAAGTGTATGATTAATTATGATGCATGTATTATTGCAGATGATATTTAAGAACACTGCATACACAGAAGGGTTTCACGCTGGATCTTCCCATAAAGTAAAGCATGCATGCTGACCTGTCTGGTTGTGCCTCCAATAGCAACTGAAGAAGAGAATTCTGATAGAAGGCGGGGTAAGGTCTCTAGTTATGTTTAAGATTCTTTTAAAATATGGTCCCGAACATTTGGAAAAAAATTCATTACAATTGTTATAATATTTGGTTATATGATAATGCATCTTTAGCACCTCCAAGAATTATTCATATTCAGTAGTCTCTCTGATTTGATTTGCTGGAAAATGATTATCGCCAGCCTAATATTAAGTAATTTACACTACTGATATTAACGCTAACCTTTAATCTATCAACCAATTGGAGACTGAGTACATTATATCATTTACATAGAAATTCTTTGGTAGTTCTAGAACACATTTCTTAATGAGTTTACGTGATAAGGGTCACGGGTAGTAAGAAAATGTCATAGTTTACAACATTGAACATCCTTTTAGATAACACAATAAATGGGTATATATGAAGTGGTAGATGTTGGAGACTTTATCATTGAGGACAAATCTCAATCCTGCAGATCAAAATGCGAATCATCTGATTAGTGATTTGCTGAATTTGAAGGGTAATTAGAAGAAATTTGAACAAAGGCATACCAAATGCACCGTGGTAATGATATGTTGTCTTTTCCACAGTGCCTTCGTACTTGCGTTTATATTTTACAGTCCTAACGAAGAGGTTCAAGTAAAAACCAGGTTACTTGCAGCATAAACATCGACATTAGAAGGGCCAAGGAAGAGAGGTAGATTGAACCACCCCACGAATTTACTTCTGGAGAATGGAACAAAATACCTGAGTCAGAATCTCAATCTCCCAAGCTTTTATTTTCAATTTAGAATAAAGTATAAAATAATTTTGTTTTTTGAAAATATATCAACTGATTTCTTTCGTCTGAGTTTTAGAATATCAGTATTTTGATGATCCTCTTACAAAGAAAGCTCAACACATGGTTTTCTTTTGTTAGCCCATTAGAACGATAATGAATGTTAATAATATATCACCCATACAAATTTTTTTTATAACTACAAATATTAGAACATATATATAGTAATTTCTGAATAAAAGATATAATTCAGGCATCACCTCGAGGAGGAATGTTCTCCTGGTCGTGAGGGGTAATCTGGCGATACCTATTTCGAAATGGCCTAGAAACCAACTGGCCCCACCAACGGGCACATCTTCTCCCAATCCCTTCGCCGTCCTGAGAACTTCCCGGTCCTCGATTCTCCGGCGCTGGCGGCAATGGCGGCATCTCTTGCCTGCACACCGGACAAGAGTTATGGAGCCTTAGCCATGGCACGATGCAGTCCGAATGGTATATGTGCTTGCAGTTCAATTCCCTCGCTTCTCCTCCCACCTCAAACTCCTCCTTACAAACCGGACAGTG